TCCTCATATCTTCAAGTTTAAATGAATGGTTGTCTTCACTTTTGCCTCATAAAAGACACCTTGAGACAAGAGCCACCCCCTCTCAATTATCATTTTAGCATCCTCTGAATATGTTACCCGCCATACTTTTATGTTTTGGGAGCTTATAGCATGGAAAGCAGATGGAACCTCTCTCCACAAAGTCTGAACTGAAACAACAGCATCCCCCAGAAGGCAGCTCTGACACTGGTCCTTCATGGCTCATTTCTTTTTCTTTTTTAAGGTAGCAGATCTTTTGAAAAACTTGTAGATTTATTTATTTGAATGGCTGGGGATGCGAGTGGGGAGACACACACACACACACACACACAAAGAGAGAGAGAGAGAGAGAGAGAGAGAGAGAGAGAGAGAGAGAGATCTCCCATCTGCTGGTTTACTTCCCAAATAACCACAACAGCTGGGAACTGAGCCAGCCTGTAGCCCGGAGCTAGTAATTCAATTTCAAGTCTCCCATGTGGGTGACAGGTACCCAAATACTTGAAGCATCACCTTCTGCTTCCCAGGTGCACATCAGGAAGCCAGAATCAGGAGTGGAACTAGGATTGAATGAAAACACTCCAGTAAGAGATGTGGGAGTCTCAAGCATTTAACCGCTATACAAGTACGCACCTGTCCACAGTTCATCTCTGACTTTAGAGCTTCAGTGAAAACACAAGTACACGCTTGTGGCAGACTTTGCTTCAGTTGGAGCAAGTCCTGAGGGGATTCCTATGTCAAATGACTGTTTTCTTTTTATGGTTCTCAATACTTTCCACCTCAGACAGAATTTAACCTGAAGTCACAATAGCTAAATTTTCTCTATTTTCACAAAGGAAGCCACAGTTCTTCTGGAAGGGTACAGTTGCAGACCCAAGGGCTCTAATCAGTAGCCTGACTTTACAGACAGATGGTAGTTCTTCATGTGCTGTCATAGTGCTAGGGACCATTTCCTCACTGGTTTCATCTTCAGGGTCTGCAGGGAGCAACCTACGTCCTCTGATTCATCCAAGTTAAGAGTGAATCTCAGAAGTCTCAGATTTCTTCAGGAAGTTGTTCAGAAATTATTTACGAGATCCAGTTAAGGTGACTTTTCTCTACTGTAGGCATTAGTAATCGTCCATAAAAAGGCAAATATGCTGTGCTATATATTTACAATATACTATTTTCTTGGCACGAGAGCATTTAGTAAGTCAAGATATTTTCTAGCCATTATTATCCACTAAAGGTTGAGAATATAAAAGTGTGCAGTATTTGAAAATGAACTAAAAAGATTAGAACTTTCCTTCTGGAAAGAAACCAAGGTTAAGAATGAACATGATTAAGGTTAAATTATTGTCAAAGTTGTCTGCACATCTAACATAGACATATTCTCCAGCTTATGACCCTACAGTTATTTATGCTTAAGTATGTTCAATTTGATCTTTTTTATAGAAAACTTTTATTTAATAAATAAAAATTTCAAAAGTACCACTTTTGGATTATAGCGGTTCTTCCCCCCAAAACCACCCTCCCACCCACAAACCATCCCATCTCCTACTCCCTCTCCCATCCCATTCTTCATTAAGATTCAGTTTTAATTATCTTTATATACAGAAGATCAACTCTATACTAAGTAAAGATTTTAACAGTTTGCACCCACACAGACACACAAAGTATTAAGTACTGTTTGCAGACTAGTTTTACCATTAATTCTCATAGTACACCACATTAAAGACAGAGGTCCTACATGGGGAGCAAGTGCACAATGACTTCTCTTGTTGATTTAACAATTGACACTCTTATTTATGATATCAGTAATCACCTGAGGCTCTTGTCATGAGCTGCCAAGGCTATGGAAGCCTCTTGAGTTCACAAACTCTGACCTTTCAATTTGATCTTGAAAATTGTTAAGGTCAACTCTGGACAAATCCAGCACCTGAGATAGTATTATCATTCCCATTTTACAGATGAGGAAATTAAAATTCATCAACCAAAAGAAACTTACCTCAGGTCACCTGGTAGGGACTCTTGACCAAACAGAGCTCCTAAAGAGAATAATAATAGTTTAAATATAGTACTTTACAGTTATCAAAGTGGTTTTACTACATTACCTCATTTAATTTTTTCAAGCAAACATGATATAGTCATTTTTGTATTCATATTACAGATAGCACCTCTATTATGTAGTTACTATGTGCTAATATGTGCTGAGAGTACCAGATGCCTTGTCAGATATGGCCTTCTTCACATGAAGCTCAGAAAAATCCCAATAAATATCACTATCCCTGTTTTTCACATGGTCACTGAGGCCCTAAAAATGCATGGTGGAGAGTCGTAATTCAGGCTGTGGCCTCTCTGCCTGGTTGTTATGTGTGGCCACTTTGCTCTGTTTGCTTTACCATGTTATGCTGCATCATTTTTCAGATAAGGAAACTGAGATTGAGAGAGAGTTTGCTAACTCAGCTGAGATTCTGCAGCTTATAAATAGTGCAGCTGGAACTCCCACTCAGAGTAGAAGGCCCATTTGTTTCTGACTGTACTGAGATACCTGCCTGTATGAGAACTGTAAGGTTGTTTCCTGCATCCAAATTAAATACCCTAATTCCTTTGAGATATTCATATATTTAAAATAACTTTAATCATTTTAGCCATTCTTTACATTTGTTTGTATAATTTCCTATTTTTAGGCCAGAAGCTCTATACTGCTGATAATGATACTGCTCAGTAGAGAAATGGTTGTACAGGTTAAACTGCTTGCCCAGGAAGTCATCTGGTGAAATTAGATTAGAACTCAAATCCAAAAGCGAGTCCCATGTGCCCAATGTTGTTTGAGAGAAAGGCTTGCCTTTATGAAATTGCTTTCCTGTGCTATAAGGAATGAATCTTTTTCCACTTGAAGATCATTTACCATTCCTCTGAACAATGAATTACGATATGGTGTATGACAAGGAAGTGTGTCATTATCAGATACATAGCATGGCCATCACTCAAAGTTGGAAATGTTGCCAGTCTATACCATCTCAGCCTTGAGAGTTTTAAAATACAGAAATTCATAATGATTAAATATGCTTTAGCTCTTTGAAAGAAAGTTTATGTCAGACACTTACAATAGTATACTTTTATTCAAATTGAAAACTCAGGTACCTGTTCCTTAAAATTGGATTGGATGAAAGTCTTCTCTGTATTTCTTGATGTCAGCAAATATCGGATAAATATCCAAGTGTATTTAATTATTTCGATTCAAGGAAATATGTCCTATATGTACAGTCTTTAAATACATTGTGTCTGAATTGAAGAAATAAATAAGATATAGCTGAAATTTAATCGCTTTGACTCTAGAAAAACTGAGAAGCTTGCTATGTCAGATACCATAACTGTAAAGCAAACTGTATATTTCTCTGGACTTTAAACTTGTTCCTGTGCAGCTTATTTTTGTTGAATCAAATAAACAAGAGGATTTTTCCATGGCGGGAGGAAAGAGGAGTCATCTTAGGAAAAACTCATGCCTTGTCATAGACTCTTTTTTTAAGAGTTCAACTTTGACTGTTCAAATATATTGTTTTTGAAAATTACGCTTTTCATTATCAAAGAGTGGTAGATGACACTGGAGTAACTAAATCTACTCCAAATGTATGAGCTCCAGTTCAGGTGTCTTAATGGAAATAGACCTGTGTTACCAAGAATTTTTTTAAAGAAAGAATTCATTTTTGAGTATATCTTGTACTACTCTTTTCATAATAGTTTTGTCATGTAATTCTCATATTCCTGCATTTCAGCTATTAACTCTTTTCCCTTTACAGATAAGGAAACAGACTCAGAGAAACTTGACTGAGCCATTAAGCCAAGATCACCTAGAAAGTACGAGTCTCATTACTCCTGAGATTAGTAGTGAGGCCTAATTTTGAACATTTAGAAGTACAAGCAAATTTTAATAGACCAAGCTGCCCTGTGAATAGCTTGGTCTATTAGAATTCTAAAAATTCACATAAAAATTTAAAAATTAGCACAAGAACATATTTTAAGAGAAAATTGCTTATGATTTTGTTTGATTTTCTCCCAAGTAGAAGCAAAACTCTGAAATAGTGTGTGCCTCTTTGCCTTGGAAATATACATTAAATTTACCTTTTGTTCCTAGGTAGACTAGTCTGTTAGTCAGTTTACTGGACCTTAAATCTGTACCTTCAAGAAACTCTATAGAGATACATCAAAACATATTGTCATTGTTCAGCAATACTTCTACCCAGTTGACTGCCCACTACTTTTATTTGTGCCTGTAGGTAACACTAGGCCACATTCCAAACACGTGACATTTTAAAGACAGACTCCAGTAGGATTAAAAACATTTCCCTGTTCTCCTGTTTTGGGTCATTTTCTTACTGTTAGAAAATCATATGTATAACATTGAAACTGGATAGTGATGAAGCTTTGCAATTTTAAATGGTAGTTGACCTTGAAATTAACTTTTATCTTTTCCCTAAAGGTTATTTTCTGGTTTAAATTAGCATGGGAACAATATAACCTGCTCCCTTCCTTTCTGTTCATCTTAGGAGCTGCCCCCTCCAATCTTTTCCTTTCTCTACTGGATGTATAGCAGTAGGAGCACAGTCTGTATGTTCTTTAAGCAAGTTAATTGTTTAAAAAGATTTATATCATTATGTATATTATATATAAATAATATATGTTTGATGGAGGAAGTTCGGAGAACACAGAACATAAATAAGACATAATTCCACTGGTAAAAATAACCAAGGCAGATTGTTTTCTAAGTGACCATTAGACTTGCCAAATGCAAATATTTATATGAGAGAGAGACGGTCCTTATTCATGATCCATTTTGCTGCTTGGTGCTATTCAGGGAGTGAAAGGGTGAGGTTGTGGGAAGCAAATGTTATTTTTTATATATTTTCATATTTTTCTGCTTTGTCCTGAGTTTTGGGTTGCATGTTTCTAAGACTGCAGTGGCTGGTCCAGTAAAGGTTTTTTTTCCTTCTTGTTTTTCTCAGACCCCAGGCAGGCACAGTCTTCCCCGCCGTGGTCCTATGACCAGTCTTACCCCTCTTACCTGAGCCAGATGACGTCCCCGTCCATTCACTCCACCACCCCGCTGTCTTCCACACGAGGCACTGGGCTTCCTGCCATCACCGACGTGCCCAGGCGCATTTCAGGTAAAGATGATGCCTGAACTAAACACCTACCCCTGTGCAGGGGTCCAGGGAAGCGGGATGGGCCAAGCTTTGTCTGATCTACACTCACAGCAATTCTATTAGAGGCATGTGGGCAAGGGTAAGGCAGTGGGTAAACTGGGTCTTCTGAATTATGGGGTTATCAAACACTCAAGTGTTTTAAAGTCAGGGGACTGAAAATCCACCAGAGGTGGCATATTTTTCTTAAGATGACATTTAATGCCACCCAGTTGAATTGTATCCCATTTGGTGCCCATTACCTCTTGACTAGGACCTTCTCCTGAGGGTCTTAGCCAGGCCTCCTTCTGCTTGTGTTCCTCTCTTTTCCTAACATCTGCCTGTGAGCCGGATTACTGCTTGGGTGGCACAGTCCTCCATTCCTAAAGGCTCATGAATCCCAGGAGTCCAAGTTAGTCAGTTCCCGAAGATAGCACCTGCCAGCTTAAGGTCCTTGTCAGAAACTAGTCACTCAAAGTGCAGTGAGGCCTGGGAGAGTCTTGAGAGACAATTCAGAGCTGGCCTCTGAGCAGCCAGCCCAACAACAGGGCAGCCTCTCTATGAGGCATACAGCACCCTGCCGTCACTCAGTGTGGTAGTCCGGTGCCTGCAGATTATGCCATAGGCACCACAAAAGTCTGTGGCTTATGGGGGCCGTGGCAGTGCTAAATGACCTGACTGCCTCCCTCTCTCTCCTGGAGAATTCATCCTAGAGAGCCAGAAAGTGTCCATGACAGAAAAGTTAAAGACCCTTGGCCAAAGGTATGAGTCTTGCAAATAAGGAAGAAAAGCCCTCAGCATGCTCTGCTATAGGAACTACAACACTGGCCCCCAAAACAAAAAAAAAAAAGGCACACACCCCACTGCATTCCATGTTGCCAGACACTCTTCTCTGGGTTCGGGCCCCAAGTACCTGTGTGACTCCTGGCCAGGTTAATGCCTTTCTTTCTTTCTCTTTGTGTTCCTGTCTCTGTTTCTCTCCCTTCTCTCATTTTCTGCAAAGCTCGAAGCCGTTACTCACTCCGCTGAGTTGCATCACTGACAAGCTGAAGCTCCACCAGCAGGCTTGCAGGTTTTCGTTAGTTCAGACTCCTTTATTTCTTTCAACTTGGGAGGAGGGAAAGCTTTGTTTCTCAAGCAAATAGCAGGAAAGGGCTCTCTGGTCCTAGTGCCTTCACATACTCTGCTGCAGATGGACTCTCGTGGGGGTGAGTAGGGAAAGAAGAGGGGTGGAGGGAGAACTGTAAGATTCCTTGGGAAACCATGTTACCACTTTTCGTTATGACTGCTATTACTATTTTTATGAATCACATGGTATTTATTGTCACGTTGTGCAGAGTATAGAATTTTATTTACTCCCCTTTGGCTGGACTCACCATCTCCTTTAGGCAAACATCAGTTAAAGACATAGGAAAGCAGGACTAAGGCCCAGGGAGGAAACCAAGGGCTGATGCGAGGTTGAAGGCACAGTGTTTCAGGGCATGGAGTTAGTTCTAGTCATTCCTTCTGTATTTCACACTGAAAATCCATTTTGTTTTACACAGGGCCGGAATGACACTTTGATAGAACAAACTGTGGCTTGTACACACTTGCTTCTGTTGAGGGTCCCCTGGGGTTCCCATCTGCGCAACCCTCTGTGAATAAGATTGAGGGGTTGGGGGAGTGGGGAAGCACCAAGCCTCAGGAAGCCATTGTAGCTTTAGACTCTTGTCTACAGAACTTTCTCACTGAGGCTTATTCATGTAATAATTCACTGGGAAACCACTGAAAAAATGCTGTATGAGTGGGTACTCATTATTTATCATTTACATGTCTAGTATAGAGCACCCAGATTATTTTGAATCAGTTTACTGAGGAATACTGTAAACATTTCATTAAAACAACACAGTCTTTCGATTCCGCAGAAGAGGAGGTGGGAGCAGAAACTGGTTATTTATCCAGTCATATGTTGATCTTAGCTGAAGGTAGTAATGAGCCTCTGCTTTAAACTGGTTTACAGCTGAGTCTAGTCTGGTTTTTTCCTCCTGCTCCAAGCATCTCTGTGAGTTGTTGCTGGTAAAGTAGCAAGGTGCCAGGGTGGGAGGTTTCATATAAACATTAAAGGGAACAGAAAATCCCTCTTGTCAGCATGTAGGGAAACAGGAAGAAACAACTAGATGTGGGCTGTCAGGGAACTGGAGGAGCCCTGATTTACCTGGCCTTGCTGTGGGCTGTGGGGCTGTACTTCAGACCGTGTCGTTTGCAGTGAGCACCTTTTTCACTTCCCTGGGCACGTGCTCCTGAGAACCTCCTCGGACAGGCTGCTGTCTCATGTGTTCCCATGTGCCAAAGGCACATTTCTATCTTGTTATCCCTTTCCTATGGACGGCTGTCCCTAAAGTCCATGCCATAGAGGCTCCTACAAGTGAGACTCAATAATGAACAGTTTTGGTTTTTTTTCTGTCTTACTGCTTTTGTGAATAAAATCCTTTGGATCAAGTCCATCCCTGTGCATCTAGTCTTCACCGTGTTCTGTGCCAAATCAAACTGTTCCCCTGTCACATGCACAGCTAAAATATTAACCCCTAACCTCATCCCCAGGCAGTTCCATGGTCACTTTTAGAGATGATTCTTGGAACAGTTCTCATCCTTTTCTCTAGAGGAATGCACAAAATAATCTTGTATGATTTGGGGTGAGAAAGAATAAAATTCATTACTTATATTTAAGATTGGAGGTTCCAGGTTTGAATCCCTGCTCCTATATATATGTGGCAAGCTTCTTAATTCTCTGAAACTTAGTTATTATTATTAGGAAAAGCAGGGATATAATACCTATCTCTTAGGGTTATTGCAAGGGTATAAAGTGCTTACAACAGACCTGACACAGTTTGTGCCAAATAGATTGTAGTTGATATTATGAAGCTAAAATTATTTTATAAAAATGAAATATCCATTTATAATTTGTAGGCAAACTTTGGTTTAAATGGATCAAATATATAAAAATCTAAACTCTTGAATGGGATTTTAACAAAATAAATTACAACAGAACATATTTAAAATAAAAAACCCTTTGAATACTTAAATATTTAGATGAGTTAATACTCATGGTATTCACAAAGTACTTAACATAATACCTAGTACATGTAAGTACTCAAATGATTGCCTTTATTATTACTGTTGTATAGACTTAAAGTAAATAGAGTTAAAAGCAATAGGGAGCCAATCACAGAAAAGTCAGTTAAGCATTAAGAAAAAAATAGCTGTTCAGTTATGTCAGAAAACAGAAAATGTTGAGTTATGCTTACATTAACTGGGGATGATAATATACTTACATTAACAGGGGATCATAGGAATAAAAGCAACTTGAAAGATCCCTTAGAAGAACCATTCCTAAAAAAACTACATTTCATCCTTAAAGAGCATTTCAGAGAAAAACCATGATTCAGGGGATCCATTTCCACATCTTTCTTTACTAGTACCTTTTTCTTATTTAATTTTCATTTATTTGAAAGAGAGAGAGAGAGAGAGAGAGTGTTCTCCCATCCACTGGTTCACTTCCAAACAGCTGTGGCTGGGCCAGGCCAAAGCCAGGAACCCAGAACTCATTCTGGGTTTCCCATGTAGGGTGGGGGACCAAGTACTTGAACCATCCTCTGTTGCCTCACAGGGTGTTCATTAGCAGGAAGCTGGACTTGGAAGCAAAGCTGTGATTGGAACTTAGATATTCCAGTATAGGGTGCTAGTGTCCCAAGTGGCATCATCATTGTTGCTCCAGATACATGCCCCAGTTAGTATCCTTCTGAGTAATTTTAAGTGTAACTATAATTCCAGACTTAATGAATTATAATAATGACAATGATATTGAATAGCACATTCCAGGGGCTGGTGCTGTGGCTCACTTGGTTGAATAGCATATTCCTGTTATCTCCCTCAGACCCTTTTTGGATAGAAGTTATCATTAAAATAAGATAAAATAAAATGACCAAGTTGTGTCACCTCTGATTCCCTGTATTTCTATAGAGAAAGATATAATACTCAATGTCTTAAAGGTCAGTGGTGCAATATTTCAGGAAATATTTCCTCAACCTTGAGCAGTCTTAAATATTTTAGCAATAGCAGTGATAAGGTTATAACTGAGTTATTCACAAGTGTTGACTAATAGGACCTACACTTTTATGAAGAGTTGGGATTGTGTTGAGTTGCATAGAATAATCGAGCACTACTTATCAGAGAACAGATTATTGGCAGTATAGAGCAGAAGCAGCAAAAGATGTAGTCTTCCTTTCCCATGGTACTTACTATGTGTATGACTTTATCATATAATATCTGCCTGAGTGATTTATACATTACCCATCTCATCTTACATAGTCCTAAAAGAATATTCTCTATGCAGTGGTAGTCAGAAAGTTCATTCCCATTGATAAGAGAAAGGTATAGTAAGGTAAAGGCTAGCTTGCTTTATACAACGCGAACTGTTGTATTTCTTTATAGCTGTAATAACAACACCCCAGCATTTTTGATTCCAGTGCACTTGTGAGATTTGACACAAAGATTATAGTTACTGTCTGGAGGTCATTACAAAATAATGTGTAGATAAATAGTTGCTGACTTTCAAAACACATTTTACATAGTTATCCTGCTATGAAAAGAACCACAGCTGCTTATTATTCCTGATTCTTTGGCTTGTGGCTCCCCCTCCTTGGAGAACTTACATACATTTTCACCACAAATTACTCCTCCCCCCTCCCACTGACCTGGGTGAAGTGGCTTAGACTGACCTAGGTCTGTGCTACTGTTTGGCATACCTGAAGTTGAAAGAGATTTACACAGCCAGTTTTCTGTTATTGTGGTCATTGTGCCCAGGGGCCTCTCTGCGGCTCTCTGGAGGTCTCTTGGAGATTTAGGATATATCAACCATAGAGTAACTTAAGATATGTGTGTGTGCGTGTGTGTGTGTGTGTGTGTGTGTTTGTGTATACACGTACATATAACTACATGTACGGGGA